GTAAATCATTTCAGCACCCTTTCCAGTTTAATAACATCTTTCCTATAGCAGGGTGACCAAAATTGTACACGGTACTCCAAAAGTGGCCCAACCAATGTCCTATTCAACCGCAACATGATGTCCCAACTCCTATACTCTATGCTCTGAACAATGAAGACAAACATGCCAAATGCTTTCCTCACCACTCTGTCTACCTATGACGCCACTTTCAAGGAACTATGTACCTGCATCCCCTAGGTCCCTATCATTAACTGTGTAAGACCTGCCTGGTTTGTCTTACCAAAATGCAACATCTTGTTCTACTAAGAGAAAATCCATAGCTGTGTGCATTCTTTAAGGGGAAATATATGAAACAATCAAAAACACAGGTTAGAAACCAATAACAATCTGGCTTGCATGTGTTAATTGATAACATTTCTCTCTCCATTCATTAATATGTAAATTAAAACAGAATGCAGCACCAACTCAGTTTCGTTGTGATGTCAAATTCTAGAAAGTGTTCTCTCTTACAAATTTCCCTCATTTGTCACTTTTGTATTTATACATATTCGATGATGTGCTTATAATTTTCGATATGTCAGTGCATGTAACAAATCCCACAAGGAGTCAAATATTAAAATGTATTGAGTCAAGTATCTGGAAGTTTATTAATATCAACTATGTACACTAATATGACATCTCAGACTCACATATACAGTCTATGTGCTATGCTTACTTAGATGACTGTTACAATTAGGCTGAATTTTTTTTGTCTCTCAGGCAATAATGCATGTTGAGGTTGGCAGAAAAATGAAGTTGAGTCAGAAAACTGTAAAATAATGGGTGAGTGCCATGATGCTAAAGAATAGTGCTCACCAGCTAATGTAGGACACATTTGGAATGAGCACTGAGCATGTGAACTTACTTATGGATATAACGTAAGTAACTTATAAAAGATTGCTGTTCACCAGTATGACTACAGACTCACCTCTCCCACTCAATGCTTGGCACGATCTCACAACAAAGACCATCCATTATCATACTGAACAGGTTTGAGGGGGCCATGATGTTTACTTCAGCCCCTAGTTTTTATGCTTTTTTCTTAAAGCATATTGTGTTTGATGACGGAGAGACAACAAGGTGCAGAGCTGGATGAACACAGCAGGCCAAGCAGCATCATAGGAACAAAAAGGCTGATGTTTCGGGCCTAGACC